AACAACAACAACAACAACAACAACAACAATATATATATATACACACCTACAAGATGGAAAATAGGGAACCAGAGGTACCAATTTATAAATGATAATAACTGCAAAGCAAAAAGAGGGAATAAATGATGTAGTTACAGGATTTCCAAAAGGAGAGGAAGTAAAAATGATACCAAAATAGAGTTGTTGTTATGTGCCATTGAGTCATCTCTGACTCACAGTGACCTATGTACAACAGAACGAAACCCTGCCAGGTCCTGTGCCAGCCTCACAATCCCTACTATACCTAAGCCCATCACTGCAGCCACTGTGTCAATCCATCTTGTTGAGGACCTTCCCCTGTTTTGTTGAGCCTCCACTCTACCAAATATGACATCCTTCTCCAGATAATGGTCCTTTCTGACAACATGACCAAAGTAGGTGAGACAAAGTATGGCCATCCTCACTTCAAAGGAGCATTCCATTCCGGCTGCACTTCTTCCAGGACAGATTTGTTAATTCTTCTAGCAATCCATGGTACTTTCAGCATTCTTCACCAACACTACAACTCAAAAGCATCAACTTTTCTTCAGTCTTCCTTATTCATTTTCCAGCTCTCACAAGCATAAGAGGCCATTGGAAATACCATGGCTTAGGTTAGGTGCATCTTAGTCTAGTAGCGTAGTGCCTAAGGCATTTGACTGCTAACCAGAAGGCTGGCGGTTCAAACCCACCAGCCACTCCTTCAAAGGAAGATGGGGCAATCTACTTCTGTAGTGATACTGCCTTGGAAACCCAAGGAGGGGTCACTATGAGTCGGGTCCGACTCGACAGCATGTAACAACAATAACAGTCTTCAAGGAGATATCTTTGCTCTTAAGCACTTGAAAGAAGTTTTTTGCAACAGATTTGCCCAATGCAATACGTCTTTTGATGTCTTGACTACTGCTTACATTGGCGTTGATTGTAGAACCAAGTAATTATGAAGTTTTTGACAACCTCAGTCGTTTCTCCATCTATTGTGATGCTGCTTATAGGTCCAGTTGTGAGGATTTTTGTTTTCTTTATTTGAAGTATAATCCATACTGTAGACTGTCATCTTTAATCTTCATCAGTAAGTGCTCCAAGTCATCCTCACTTTCAGCAAGCAAAGTTGTGTCATCTGTGTATCTTAGGTTGTTAATAAGCCTTCCTCCAATCCTGATGCCACATTCTTCTTCATAGAATCCAGCTTTTCAGATTATTTGCTCAGCATACAAGTTGAATAAAAACAAAAAACCAAACTCACTGCCGTCGAGTCAGATCCACAATTTGTTTTGATCCACACAATTGAATGCCTTTGCATAGTCAATAAAACACAAGTAAACATCTTTCTGGTATTCTTTGTTTTGAGCCAAGATCCATCTAACATCAGCTATGATGTCCCTCATTCCACATCCCCTTCTGAATCCAGCTTGCATTTCTGGAAGTTCTCTGTCAATATACTACTGCAACCATTTTTGAATTATCTTTAGCAAGATTTTACTTGAGTGTGATATCAATGATATTGTTCAGTAATTTCCATGTTCTGTGGGATCACCTTTCTTTGGAATGTGTACAAATATGGATCTCTTCCAGTCAGTTGGCCAGGTAACTGTCCTCCAAATCTCTTGGCATAGCCGATTGAGTGCCTCCAGCACGGCATCCATTTGTTGAAACATCTCTGTGGGTATTCCATCAATTCCTAGAGCCTTGTTTTTCACAAATTCCTTCAGTGCAGCTTAATTTCTTCCTTCAGTACTATTGGTGCTTGATCATATGCCACCTCCTGAAATGGATGATCATCTACCAATTCTTTTTGGTATAGTGACTCTGTATAGTGGACTATATATCCATTTTCATTTGAGGTTTCCTGCATCATTCAACATATTGCCCATGGAATCTTTCAATATTACAATTCAAGGCTTAAATTTTTTTTCCTCAGTTCTTTCAGCTTGAGAAATGCTGGCGTATTCTTCTCTTTTGGTTTTCTAACTCCAACTCTTTGCATATTTCATTATAATAATTGTCTTTGTCTTCTTGAGCTGTTCTTTGAAATCTTCTGTTCAGCTCTTTCATCCTGTCGATTCTTTCATTTGCTTTAGCTACTTTCCATTCAACTGCAAGTTTCAGTCTCTTCTGACATCCGTTTTGGTCTTTTCTTCCTTTCCTGTCTTTCTAATGACCCTTTTCTTTCTTCATGGGTGATGTTCTTGATGTCATCCCACAATTCTTCTGGTTTTCAATCATTGGTGTTCAGTGCATCAAATCTATTCTTTAGATGGTCTCTAAATTCCG